CAGTTACTGTCCTTTGTTTCAGTCTTCTTCAAGTATCCTGGGGGGGGGTGTGTGGAGAGGCTCCTTCTTTAGCCAGCTGAAGACAAAATGGAGGGGTCTCCCACAGGTTTAAATAGACTCTCTCTTGTGGGTGGACGACCCCCCTCCTCCCTCCTATGCAAAGTCCAGCTCCAAGATGGAGTTTTGGAGTCACCTGGGCAAGTCACATGCCCCTGCATGACTCAGTCTTTGCAGGCCGACGCCATTGTCCACATGGCATCTTGCATGTCTCCAGGAGGACTTCTCATGTGGATTGGAGCATTCCAAGATGCATTGTTCCCCAAGTGTCTCCTGATCAGGTACTTAACCTGGTGCATTCCTTCCTAAAGAAGCTGACCAAATGCCTCACAAAGCTTACTTAGAAATCAAGCAAGCATACAGCCCATATTCTTAACCTCGAGTAGAAAATGATATATATGTACAAATTGGATGAATAGATATAGTAGACCATAACCTTTACGGAGATATGTTACATGGCACAGGCAGTGCAAAACATATTCCAGCTATGTCATCCATACATTTATAAGCACCCCCTCCCCATAAAGCCTTATGGGGTACACTGTCACAACAGCTCTGTGTCTCTTGCTTTCTCTGTCCCTCACTCTGTTTCTTTACAGAACTCTCTCTCTCTGGGTCTGTTTCTTTCTCATTTTATGCACAAGTCTCTCTGCCTGTCTGTGAGTGGCACTGAAAGAAAAACAGAGCCTCATCTGGTGTAAGTCAAACTAGCACCACTGAAGTAAATAGAGCTATGCTGATTTACATCAGCTGAAGATCTGGCCCTAAGCCTCTGTAAGGAATGACCATCTCTGCCCTCCCCTGTAGCAAGAAAAAGGACCTGTCTGAGATACCTTGCTCTATATTCTCACAGAAGTGTAAGTGTGTGTGGAAGTGGGGGAAAATAACATGTACACAGGGAAACGTGTAACCCTGGACAGATTGACATGGGAATACAGTTGGATAAAAATGGGAATAGGTATGCCTAGACAGGCAGACTGGGAACAATGTGTAAGGATGGAACAGTGTGCGCTTGTGATCCTCCAGATAGATGGACCAGGGAACACCCACAGTTACCAACCTAGGAATGTGTGTATACACAGGGTGATAGAGGGCTGGAGCAGGAAATGTATGTGCATGTGGTTAGACAGACATGTATGAGCCTGTGTGCATGTAAAGGCCTTTTGTGCGCTTTAGGTTATAAAAAACCCACCCCTATTTTTGTGCAACAAAACAACAGTTCAGAAATAAATACCTTCCTGTCAGGAACATGTCTGTGCTGGAATGCAGGGGTAGAGCTGCTATGGGAGCAGGGAGTCATTTCTAACAGGCAGTTACTTTTGTGTGTATTTGTGTTCTATGTGTGCCAGTGACTTCATAGCCATGTTTGCACACACGGGTGTCTGTATATGAGTGCCTGAAAATGAGTGAGTGTATGGAGATGTTACACGTCTATAGTTTTTATTGTCAACAGAAATCCTTAATAAAAATTCAGGCTTATATAGTTAAAGTCTAGTTTAGTCTCTCTCTGTGTCTTAAGAAGATTTCTGAAGTGAAGAAATCTCTCTATAGCGTAGCGGTAACTATTATCTGCCTTTCCCTCTATGCCTGACCGTCAGCTTCAACTCTCAATCTAAATAATGACAGATAAAGGTTTGTTGCCACTTAATATTTGTTTACCTATAAATTATAAATGATTGATTTGCTGCTGATTGGCAATGGAAAGTGTTTTGATTAAGCTCTTTCCGGTGAAGCTGATACTGTGGAGTGTAGCTGGAACAGGCTCTCTCATTTTGCAGCTGACCACACTTTATGTTGAATTTCAATTAGTCAACATCGCCTGGGTGAGCGCTGATGCTTAGACATCTTAAATCCTGTAGGATTTATCCTTTCTGGAACTCTATCCATTTTATTAGTGTGAGTGAGAGTATGTGTATTCTGCAAGCTGTGATCTTATTAGCTCTCATACCCTAAATAGGGTTGTGCCTATTTAGTACTTGAGTGGGAGGTCTCCAGAGAGAGCCCTGAGCACTGCTGGGAAGAGTGATGGTAATTCAGATTCCTTTTGAGTCACACCTGAACCAGTGGCATAGTAAGGTGTCACATGGCTCTGTGTTGCTGGAGGTCTGACCTTTCCAATGAGACACTGCCCATTTACACTATTAAAAATCCCATGGCACTTTTCCCAAAACGAAGCATGTTAACTCTGTTGTCTTGGCAAAATTCCAATTTGGGGAATTACATTCTGCCTACTTAAATCACTCCCTGCACCCATAACTGAATACTTACATAGCGCTTTTCATCCATCAACCTCAAGTGATTGACAAAGTATGTACGACTCATTATCCCCCATTTTTTACAGATGAAAAAAATGAGGCACAGAGCAAACCAAATTTTTCAAAGGTGCCTAGTGATTTTGGGTGCCTCCATATTTGGGTGTCCAATTTAAGAGACTTTCTAGGAGCCAGATTTTTTTTCAGAATGTGCTTAGCTCCTACCCTCTTAAAGTCAGCCCCTTGAAGGTGTCTCAAGACGGACACCCAAATCCCTAGTTACTTTTGAAATTATCGGCCTGTGTGACTTGCCCCAAATCATCCTGTAGGCCAATGGCAGAACAGGGAATAGCACCCAGCTCTCCTGACTCCTAGTCTGGTGCACTATTCACTGGACCACACTGGCATAACATACTTCTGATCTCTGCAGCCTTCTGTTTCTTACTAATCTAATCAACACTTTTTTTTAATCCACTCTTCTCAGTCTAATGCTTTCTTCAGGCCCCAGCAGTGGGGTTCTCCACGCAGCCCTTCAACCAAAGCCCAGTCTCTTCCGCCTGATCAGCCAGCACCAGATTTAACCAGGATGATTTCAGAAGCTGGTACCCCCCAGAAGAGCCCAACAACTGAGAAGGCAACTACATTGCCACAGGGCAGGCCATCACCAGCAGGATCCCCCCGAAACAGACACACTCAGACCAGTTCCAGCAACCTTCACCTGTCCCAAGACTCTTCTGCTAAAGGACAGTTGGCCAATGAAGACCCTGTGGTTGTGACTCATGAGCAGTTCAAGGCTGCACTCAGAATGGTGGTGGACCAGGGTGATCCCCGGACATTGCTGGAGAACTATGTGAAGATTGGTGAAGGATCTACAGGCATTGTCTGCATCGCTCGTGAGAAGCATTCAGGGCGACAGGTGGCAGTAAAGATGATGGACCTGAGAAAGCAGCAGCGACGGGAACTTCTTTTTAATGAGGTGAGGATGGTCACAGGCGAGCAGTGGACTGTGCTTTCTGTAATGAAGCAAGGACAGCGATAGGCTCATCTTTATTTTTCATGGAGGGAAGATGGTAAGGAGATGAGGATAGTAAAAGGAGGAAAGAGAAGGACCATCTTCCTTTTTAATGAAGTGAGTCTGATAATGAGAGGGGGCATCAGAGTGCTTCAGTGAGCCTACATCACGTGAGATAGAAAGACAAATGGAGCCCACCTAGATCTTTGTGGGAGGTTTTTGCTCTATGGTTATGGGTGATGTTGTTGTGTGGTGAAACACATTTCCTACTTTCTCAGGTGGTGATAATGAGAGACTATCAGCACATCAATGTGGTGGAGATGTATAAAAGCTACCTGGTGGGAGAGGAACTCTGGGTGCTCATGGAATTTTTGCAGGGAGGAGCCCTCACAGACATTGTGTCTCAAATCAGGTATGAAGTACAAAGAAAAGAATTATGCTACCCGATGGGCAATAGCATGACTGTAAGACCTGCGTCATGAAATTCATTTGGAGAATTTTTTTTTGTTCTCCAAAGATTTTGTAATGATCATGATTGCAATGCCCTGTAATTATCAAATTTTATAACTAAAGCCACCAATTCCTTTGCAATAAGCAGTGGTTCCCCTGACCTAGGAAGTGGGAAGCACCTAGGTTCATAAGGCCCAAAGCTTTCTCTGCTGGTGACCCAGTATTTGAAATATTAGACATACAAAGCAACAGAGGGTCCTGTGGCACCTTTCAGACTAACAGAAGTATTGGGAGCATAAGTTTTCGTGAGTAAGAACCTCACTTCTTCAGATGCAAGTAATGGAAATTCCATTACTTGCATCTGAAGAAGTGAGGTTCTTACCCACGAAAGCTTATGCTCCCAATGCTTCTGTTAGTCTGAAAGGTGCCACAGGACCCTCTGTTGCTTTTTACAGATTCAGACTAACACGGCTACCCCTCTGATACTAGACATACAAAAACTCTGCTAGATTTGAGTGTAATATAATAGAACCTCAGAGTTACAAACTGAACGGTCAACCACACACCTCATTTGGAACTGGAAGTAAGCGATCAGTCAGCAGAGACAAAAAAAAGCTATGTTAAACATAAACAACTAAAAAAATAAAGGAAAAGTTTAAAAAAAGGTTTGACGAGGTAAGGAAATTTTCTGTGTGTGTGTGTGTGTATACACACACACACACACACACACGTAACCAGACAGCAAGTGTGAAAAATCGGGACAGAGGATGGGGGATAGTAGGAGCCTATATAAGAAAAAGCCCCAAATATCAAGACTGTCCCTATAAAATCGTGACATCTCATAGACTTTAAGGTCAGAAGGGACCATTATGATCATCTAGTCTGACCTCCCGCATGATGCAGGCCACAAAGCCATCCCAACCCTTTCCCTTGACTCTGCTGTTGAAGTCCCCAAATCCTGTGGTTTAGAGACTTCAAGTAGCAGAGAATCCTCCAGCTAGCGACCCCCGCCCCATGCTGCGGAGGAAGGCGAAAAACCTCCAGGGCCTCTGCCAATCTACCCTGGAGGAAAATTCCTTCCCGACCCCAAATATGGCGATCAGTAGAACACTGAGCATGTAGGCAAGATTCTCCAGCCAGACCCTCATTGGCCATTGATACTATTTACCAGCGATGGCACGCTGTTCATTTGACTAAAATCACTTTGTCCCATTAAACCATTCCCTCCATAAACTTATCTAGCTGGTCACCCTAATATACATACACTGAGAATGTTGCCTGGGCCACAGCTGTGTTCTGACTGGGCCACTGGTTGAGAACCACTGGCTTAGCGTACCAGCTTGGAATTTGAATTTGGGGACACGGCTCTTGTTTAAATCTAAAATCTGTTTTACAGACATGATTTGTCTGAATTTAATACTTGTGAAAGATTCTGAATTGCCAGCCCTTGAGACAAAAATCTACTTATCAATACAACAGGGCAGCGGCAGTACAAGGTTTCCCACATTGCTCTGCTTCAACCCTGAGCTAGAGGAACCACATAGGGGTGAAATTATAAAGTAGTTGAGGCTCCAGGCTCATCTGCTTCTTGGCTTTTCTTGCAAAAATTACGCACAATGGTACCACTCATTTCTGATTGCGCTCATGTTTTTTATGATATGGACACTTGGTCATTGTGAACTAAAAGTAAACATCTTGAAAAATTACTGATAACAGAAAGGGAAGTTGATTGAAGGGTCACACTGCACTTTTAGGAGATTGTCATTCATTTAACCTGTACGGTCAAATGTGAGGCAGCTTTACAATTCTGGGTTTTATTTCAGGCTAAACGAGGAACAAATTGCGACAGTGTGTGAGTCAGTGCTGCAAGCCCTTGCATATTTGCATTCCCAGGGTGTGATTCACAGAGACATTAAGAGCGACTCCATTCTCCTGACCCTTGATGGAAGGGTAGGCTTCCTCTGTTTAACTTCCTCTGTGTCCAACTCACCCAGGTTCTTTCCTTTGACCTTTCCCTTCAGCCTCTCCTTCTCTTTCTCATCTTTCCTAGTCTCGCCTTCTCTTTTATCTTCTGCTGCTGTAACCTTATTTAGTCTCCTACCCTTCTTACTGTTTTTCTCTTCTTTTGCTTTTCTCTCTTTGTCTTATCCAGTCATCTTGCCTCTGTCCACTTGGTCTTTATCTTTGTCCCTTTGTCAATTCCCTCCTTTGTTTAAAGATTCCAGTGATCTTCCTTCTTCCCCCTCTCACACAGGTGAAACTCTCAGATTTTGGCTTCTGTGCTCAGATCAGTAAAGATGTACCAAAAAGGAAGTCCCTAGTGGGAACTCCATATTGGATGGCTCCGGAGGTTATTTCAAGGGCCCCATACACTACTGAGGTAATCTACTGCTTTCCTAATGCAAGAGCTAGCAGATAAGTCTGAGATATTACAGGGACTCACTGAGATAACAATTTGTTCCTCTTCTGAGGAGACAGTTAGGGCCCATACCAACATAAATACAACTATGACAGAAAACTTGGTTACAACATAGTTATTCCCTGACATGGTTAAAACATGGTTCAGTCTGGTAATGTAAACCGAGTGTAACTAAATTTAAACTGTTACTGAATCTTGCTACAACCCTGCATGTGTGGACAGACTCTAGCAAGCAGAAGCTTGGGACATGAATTGGAATCACTGAATTAATTTATCCTATTTTCCAGGAGGAGAGATGAGGGAAAGGGAACATCAACAAACATGCACACACATTTTTTATGAAACAGCAGTGCAAGTGACAGATACCAGATTGATAAACCTTTATTTATCCACAAAACAGATAGTCTGAGCAATGACTATGCAGTTATCTCCAAACATCATCATCACTGTGGCTGAGTCCCAGCCCAGGAGGAGCAGCCTCTTGGGGAGGCCAGTCTCTATAGTCCATTCAGTCTTCACAATCTATGCTAAGACAGCATGCAAGGGGTCCAGTTAGTGCTAATCTGGGTTAATATTTCACTTTTTCAATAAGATCAGAGAGCTGTCTGAGATGTTATAGCACTTGTTTTAGAGATACAACCTTTTCTTCACCTCCAAAGAGATCATGAATAGAGAGCAGTTGGCTATTGCTATTGACTGTGTTCACAGATGTAATGCTCTGCTGCTGCAGGTGGATATCTGGTCTCTAGGGATCATGGTGATAGAGATGGTGGATGGAGAACCCCCCTATTTCAGTGACTCACCAGTCCAAGCAATGAAGAGACTCCGTGACAATTCTCCTCCCAAACTGAAAAATTCTCACAAGGTCAGTATGTCTGCAGGCACTTTGGCATCTGATGAATCACTGATTGCCACGTGGGGACTGAATAGCTGAGGCCCGGATAGACTGTTTATTAATATATCACATCTGGCTATGGAATCCCAATCACACCAGGACATTATTTCTTGGGAGGCACTTTCATTCCTGTTCTATGGAGGCCACAGGTTGGTGGATTTATCTCAGAGCTTCTGCTCAGCTCAGTAGACACTACTCAAGGGTCTCTTTCGGCTCTCAATGCCATGGCAAGGTACTGACACCTAGTGGCTAGTGTGTGAACTATCCCTAGTAAAATATGTTTGGTTATTGTAGCACTGCTTGCCTATGATTAGATCAAATCCTGGCCCTGGCAAAGTCAAGAGCAAAAATCTTGCTGAATTCAACAGGGCCAAGTCATCACAGTAGCAAATGTCAGGGTCCTTGCACCTGGTGTTTTGAAATCTTCCATTTTAATGGCTCTCTCTCAGCTGCAAAGCCACGTTTAAAAGAAAGGAATGGTTCTAGGTAGATGATGGCTCATGCAATGAACAGCAGCCACTCTGATAATTAACCTAACTTGATTATTACTTATAAAAAATTAGCACTAATGTTCAGAAATAGTGATTTCCTCTTCAGTCACGAGTTACATTTTTCTTTTTATTTCACTCCAGATGTTGAAAACCAAATCATTTTTATAGCTTTGTGAATTATCATGTTCTTCACTACTAAAACTGAATTATTCCACTAAGAGTGTAATGTTAATTTAACAGGATAAAATTAGTAGAAATTGCTGTGTTAGTTTTTTGCCTTTGCAACACTAATATTAAAATCTCAGGACCAGATTTTGGCCCCAGAGAATCCTTAGGTGACATAGAGCCAGTTCTGCCCTCCTCCCTCTGTGTATGCACTCCTCCCTCAGAGTGACCCATGACTGATGAGGTGACCCCTTGGGGGCAATTGCCAACCAGCACAATTTATAGCCTTTGAGTTCTCTAAATTGTCTTGGGATGGGGGAGTGAATTGATTTACAGCAGACCTTGGGACCAGAATGCGGACCATAAAAGTACCTATGATCAGCACTCCCTCCAGCCATGTGAGTGCAGCTTAGTTGCAACTGAGGATTCAGTGCTCCATTACTACAATTAACTGTTACTATGATCAACTAGTGCAGTACTGAGTTGATCAGATTAAGCAGAATTCACCACTTCTTTCAAAATATAGATAGCTTTATAGACTAAATACTAAGGGCCAGATTCTGCCACCTGTATTTAGTTAAGTAATGCCTCGCCCCTCAAGTAGCCCCAATTAAGTCAGTGAAATTACTCATGCAGTAAAGTACTACTGAATGCAAACAGGGTTGGCAGAATCTGGCTGTAAGTGAACTCAAACTGTGAAAATTATCCCTATACAAAAACAAATGTAATTAGTGACATTAAAATAGATGCGTAAGTTGGGATTACTTGTTACCTACTTTTGATGTTGATATAGAGAAATAAATGTCCAGCATGTGACATTAGACATCCAGATCCTGTTGTTAATGGGAGTTGTACATATCAACATGTCCCCCTATTAAAAATGATTAAAACATTGCAATGGTGTTCAGATCTAATGTTTTTAAGTGTGTGCAGATTTATTCATCTTCAAATACCAGCTGTATCAGATTTCCACTCCAGACATTGGAGATTCACTCTGAATTGTTTTCAAATTTGCTACCTTGTGCCATTTTCCCCAGTCCCTCTCTGTGACCAGTAGGAACAAGGATTAATTTACTAAAATCCTAATTTCTGAAGGGACATATATTGTCCCTTCAGAAAACAAGAGATCTAATGAGTTTTTCCTTGCAAACCACACACCAGAGCAAAGAACAGAAAGAGAGGCAAAAACTAACAAATCTGGGGACAAGGAGAGACAATCCCATACTCCCCATTTGCCAACTCCAATAAAAATCATGACCTACACGAATATGCAAATATAGCACCTAGTGTTAACATGAAGTACTGCAGAATATCAATAAGGGAGTCCTTCCCCCTTTAAATTTTTGTTTGGGAACACCTGATTTTTCACCTAGAGTTAATCAAGCGCAGGAATCTTCTTTTTTTTAAACCTACTATTGTGTAAACTTTGACCTGACTGGTTTACAAACTGGTCGCTTGACCTGATTGGTTCTTTTTCCACAGACTTCTCCAGTTCTGAGAGACTTCTTGGAACGGATGTTGACACGAGATCCTCTAGAAAGAGCAACAGCTCAAGAGCTTCTGGATCACCCCTTCTTGCTCCAGACTGGACTTCCAGAGTGCCTAGTCCCCCTTATTCAGCAGTACAGGAAACGCACCTCCACCTGCTGACTCTGCGCATGGGGAAAAGCCAGTATCCCAGCACTGGAAAGGCAATTTCTCTGCTGGAAATACTTGTACTTGACCAAGACTCAAGCAGTGTCACTCTGCGAACAGTGCTTAGAACTTGTCAGTATTTTTTTTTGGAAGGATGAATGTGAAAATTCCCTCCAGCCTTTAGCTGCTTCCCTTTTGCTGAAGACAATCAAGTCAGACCCAATATTTCTCAAGAACAAAACAGAGGCATTACATGGCTTCTGGAATCTCATATTTCTCTTACAAGAATGGCATTTTTAAGATGTTTGAATTTGGATATTGAAGGGTCTGCAAACTAGAAAATTTTAACTACTGGCTATCAAATTGGAACTATATTCCCCAAACAGAAATGTGATCTTTGTTTTTTAATGTTAGTTGTACACTGGAGTCCTGAGCTGACCCAAAAGAGACGCATTTTGGGACACCAACCTTCTAAAAAATCCTATCTTAAACAATGCACAAGGATTTCAACACTTTTTTGAGACTCTCTCTTATTATTTTATCTCATTCCACATGTGTGAACATCACTGGGCCTGAAAAAGCTACCTGGAGGGCAGATGTAATATATGTTTGGTTGGTTTCCAACTTCCTCCTTTGCATCAAACTGCTTCATTTCTATGGAGAATATATGTGGTTTAACAGGACAAAAAGATGGTCTGTCTTGAGTCAACTGCATGATCTTAGATGTGTGGAGGGATGACGCTCCTTAGCACAGGCCTTCTCGAAGTGTCTCTCTCTCTTCTCTATAGAGAATGTACTGACTGCCACCAGAATCCTATGGCTGAAGCTTCATAACATGTAACACCACTGTCTTCTCCAATACTGAATCGAATGGGAGGCAAAATGGTGTTCTCAGCAGGAAAGGTTTAAGAAAGCTTGTCCCAGGGTCTAGGTCCCCCTGGGTACATTGGATTCATATCAAGAAATGCTGCCTTGAAACAGCTGTTAGGTAGCACTTTGTACCATTGTGAATCCTGTAACAGGCTCAATAAAAAATTGAAGATGTTTGTTTTCTTGGTGAGAATGTTTGGCTTTCACCTCCCATGTTTTGTTACAGTGAAGGGTGAGGAGGAGAGGGAGTGGTTATGTGTGGTTTGTTATTGGCATGTCCTTGCTGATATGTCTGAAGGTTTCTGTTTGTCTAAGGCACCCCTTCAATCCTTTTTAAAGTAAATTTAGAATTTTTGTATAAGCTCATTGATCAGTGAGATAGTCACGGTCATTTTGACTCCTAGGTCAGGTTTTAACATGTACAGTAATGTGTTTAAAGTCATGCAGATATCTGGAACTTAGTCTTATCTGTGAAACTGGGATCCCCCTTTGCAGCCAAATTATAAAGATCATAGAAATTTGGATTCTTTTAGGGCACCCCGCCTGCCTAAAAAATTAATCTCATTATTGAATTATCTTTACGAGGTTTTTATCCTCCTCTTTCCCTCTACCACCTTCCCTGTTACAGATCTTGCTATAGACTTTTAGCTGTAATAAATAACTTGAAATCATCTAGCCACCTGGATGAAACTTTGATGCAAAAAATTTCTGTATTTCCAGATATCCTGTCTTTTTATGCAAAAGAGCAGAGCCTTTTTAAACAGGCTTATAATTTGAAACACTGTCTATATTTGTGAATTGTTTGCACTTGTGTTTTAAAATAAAGTAGATCTTGAGCTATTCATTAAGCAGTTGCACTTCTGAGATCTTTTAAAATGTGCTTACAGTTTTGAGATGGAAGGAAGCAGGTAAGTGTGGGAGCCACAAGTCTGTTCTAATACACTCACCTACTTTAGAGGGGATGATTTCATAACTAGGGGGGACCACAGCAAAAAAGCTGGATCTTGAAAGGAGGGCTTGATGGGACACAGGTTGTAGAGTTCAAATTCCACAGTAGGATGAGCTGCAGCCCAGTGCTGTCTAAAAAAGGTAGAGGGGAAGGGAGGCTGAACTCTTAGTAGGGCCACACTTTGACGGGACATGAAATCAAAGCACCCATTGCACTATTTGAAAAGACGAATTCCAGTTTCCTCCCTAAAACAAAACAATAAAGTTCTAATACTCAAGGCACTATGAGCATCTGATTCTTGTTTATGTACACAGTTCTTGCATATATGCATCCCATTCATTGCTTTGTAAAGTAGGTGAGATACTATGAATATGAGAAGCACAATATAATATCAAAATTCTATTCCAGTTTGTAAAAACTTAAAATCATAGTCTCTGGGTGTAATACCAACTTTCCCATGAATAAGCATCAAGCCAGAAGGGCCAAGCACCCCCCATGATAAGCAGATTTATTAAATTTGTATTGCAGAACCATCTACATGCTCTAGCTTCATTGTGGGCTTGGTGATGTACAAACATAACATATAGTCCCTACCCTGAACAACTTACAATCTAAGCATTAGGTAACACTTAGCCAGAAGAAACACAATTTTGTAGCTGATACACATATTGTATCTTTTAGCAGGTATTCACTTGCAAACATACAACGTTGATGCCATAGGAATGGATAGTCAACTTTCCACCTTCCAGGTTAACCAGCCCTGCAACCCGTCGGGAACATTTCCCAGCCCAGCCACAAAACGTCCTTGCTCCTCCTTTACCCTGATGACTGATAAAATAACAATGACATTTCGCTTGCCCGTTTACACAACTACTCTCTCTGACCCGGCTCTGCCAAGGCGAGGTAACGCGCCGGGCTGGGGGGGCAGCGGTCACCGCGGCGGAGGCCCGGCCTGAGGAGCGCTGCAGGCGGCTGCGGCCTTGCGACGGCTGCCCAGGGAGGGCCCTGCCCAGCGCCACCGGCGGCCGCCAAATCCGAGACCCTGGCCTGGGACTGGTCCCTTCGCCCGGCGTAGCCCCCCTCCCCGGGGACGAGCCACCTCGCTGCGACTGGGGCCGGACATCTGCGCATGCGCGGTAACATCGGAGGCAACTACCTTCACCGCCCGCTGCTGAACATGGGGAGGGGGAGGGGGAGCTTGGGGCCCGAGCCGCGTAGGCGGGGGAGTTGCGCGGCCGGACAGGCAGCTGGGAGTGGGGGGCGCCCTGGGCGGCGGTTGCCAGGGTGACCGCGCTGTTTGCGCATCCTCCCAACCCCGTGCTGCTGCCCCTGTGACCTGTCCGGGGAGTGCTGGCTCGGCAACCCCAGGGCTCCCACAGCTCCCGGGTACCGGCCAAGGCCCCTCTGGTTGGGCGGTCCGCTCTCCGCCCGGTGGATATTTGAAATGAGAGTCACAGTCCGGTAGCTGGTTTCCCTTCTGAAAGCCGAGGGTATTTTATATGTAGCTCAGTTGCAGACGCAGACGCCGGGGTCGGGGGAAGCAGCAGCTGGCGGGTTAGAGCTCATAGAAGTCTATGTGTGCCCCAGAGGCGAACGTGTCCTGCAGCAGCAGAGTCACTAGCTTCTGGGCGGACACGCTGCAGTCCAGCAGCTGCCCGCTCTGCTTCATGCGGAGGAACTGCTCGCGCATTTCCGGGTCTGCGGACTTTGTGC